AATTTTGACACAATTAAAAATATAATGATACTTTTTCTTTTTAAAGATATAATTCTGATGTTTTAAGATTTTTGAAATGAAAAATTATCTTTGTTGTGTAGCAATGATTGTCAATCACTTTGACAGTGTATGTGCTGTATGATATAAAGAAATGAAATGAGTTTTATTCAATGTAATTTTTTTATTGAATGCATAGCTCTTCTTCTTCTTCTCATCACTGTCATATTCAAACATTCAATAAATGAATTTTTTATATATCAATTTGAAATGTGAAATATGATTAATAAATGATTTGCAGATCTTCATCTTTATCTCTATTCTGTGTATAAAATTTCTCACAAAAGTAATGCATTTTAAAGGCAAAGTTAATAATAATGACAGAATTTTTTAAAATGTTTTTTTTTCTTTAATACATATTTTTTCTCCCCCCTCTAATCTGCAATAATGAGTGCATGAAAATCTAATTTTTAAATGTATGTATGTATGTATGTATGTATAGATTTAACATCTCAGAGAAGTATGAGCAGCATCTGTGCTTCAGAAGCCTTCTGAAGAGTATGAGAATATATTATGCTGAAGAAATTTCTATATATACAAAGAGAGAGAAACAGAATTCAGATGGCAATTCTTGAAAAAACTCAGCTCATATCAAGCTGCACATTCATTTCTGATTCAATGTATGGCCATTCATGGTAGAGTTATAAAGTGGTTCTCTGAGAAGGACCGCCGCTGCTGTGTCTGTGTGAGGGGTGATTACAGTGTGAAGAGTGAATAGTAGAAGATAGTATATAGTGTAGTGGAAGACAATAATAATTATAGTAGTAGTAGTAGTAATGTAGTTGAAGTTGTAGCTAATCGCTAAGGAGGAAAAGAAAGAGAAAGAAGATGTGCGAAATATATGCATCCATATATATATACTTATAGAAATAGTGGTAGCAAGAGTATAATGGAAAGAGGTAAAAATAGACGAAGATATAAACAAAGATAATATAATAATAAGGAAATAATAAACGAGTGCATTACAGTCTGCAAGGCTTTACAGAAAAATTGAGAGGTAGCAAGAAGCACTCTGTGCTTCAATGAGAGAAAAAGAGAGAATAAATGCAGTGAGAAAGAAAAAGAAGTTTAAATAAAGTAGATAAAGAAACAATGAAGAAGCAGTGCTGTCTGTGATGCTGTGTAGTCATATGATTTGACACAGATTCAGAGCTGTGCATTGTCAGCAGAAAGAGAGAAGAATGCTGATCTAGACAAATGGAAAGAACAAAGCAGAGGTACTAAAGATGATGAATGAAAAGGAGAACAAAGTGCAGAGAAGGTATGATAAAAGAAAGAAGAGAGAAATGAAAAAAGTGCTGAAGCTGATAGAAGTAGAGGTAAAAGAGGGAATCAGAGCAAAGCACATGTGTGCATGAGATTGACAGCCAGCTGCATCAATTGTATTGATTGTACTGATTGAACCGATTGTACTGACTGGGTCAATTATGTCAAATGTACTGGTTGTGCTGTCTCTGTTATTCGCACCAGTCACCCACAGCTGCAGCTGTAGCTGCACTATCTTATGCAGTATTGTATGTAGAACTGCGTCTGTTTCAGCAGTTCTACAAAGTCCATAGAAGTCAAGGATCCCAAATAGGCAACAGCTGTCGCCCAGTTGTGTGGCCTTGTTACTGACCTCTTGAGTCAGTGAGGAAGGTGCCTCTGTGAGTATCAACACAGCATCAGATGCTCTGAGCTTTTATTGTGATCACAGACACAGATGAGCCTCACATTTGTGTGTTGAAAGTGTCTGTGATACCATGAGAAGTTTCTGTGAGAGGAGTGGAGTGTGAGCCAGCAGTGAAGATCGCATGTTGTGGCATGGTGAGCTATGATGGGGCTTTAATCTGATACTTCACTGATGGCCTGCTGGGCCTTTATCCCTGGTATCAGTCAGAGAGTTTGCCACACACTTCACTTCACCACTTCTGCCTTGCCTTCTGATTGAGCTGCTTGACCACTGTGTGTATCCTGCTGACTGTGGGTGTGGCTTCAGATCTGTAGACTGAGGCTGCTGTTGATGAAGCTGTGCACTTAATCAGATGATCTGCTTCCTCATTGTCCTCTATTTTCATATATTATGAAGATCATTTCAGGCTTACATTATGCTGTCTGAGGAGCTCATGAACGCAGTTGAAGGCTCAGTAAGAGGAAGCCGCTGCATTGCTCTATATGCTTTACCCCTCTAATGGTAATATCAAAACAAAGTTAGATCTGAAAGTTGATGCTGCCATTCA